CTTGGGTTGTTACCGACATCTGGTGAAAATTTCATGTCATTAGCACCTCTAGTAATATATTTACTGAGAAAAATGTTGACGTGTTCAATACCTATTTTACCCGCTGTATCCAAATTGCTCAGGCTCATTAATTTTCTCTTTGACAATCATCAGAACTAGACTTGATGTTGCAAAGAGAACACAGCACTCACAATATCACTGACCATGTACCTTTTCTGACCCATTCATGGGGTGTTGTGTAATTTGGAGTTAGTGTTGGTCTCAAAGGAACCAGATAATTGCTAGACAGAGTAAAAATAAAAGCGACAACCAAGCCCCATCAGACAGATCGCCGTCGTTTGCGAGTCTTGTGCATCACTAGATAATCAAAAACAGTCATTACATTAAATGATCCACACAAATAGAAAATCTGCAGAACGTTCACCTCTTCATGGCTCGGTTTGTGCTGTTCTCATCCTGTCCAAACCCAGTCCAGAGGCAGATGGGAAGGTAGACATGTTAACACCTGTCAGAGGTTTTAAAACCACTTTTTCAGGTGGAAAAGGGCTGTGATCTTTGCAACAAGCAGCACATCATTCCGGGATACAAACACGCATTCGGGTCCGAGTTGAAAGAGAGCAGAGTAAAGGCACTTTCCAACCCTATTTCCTTTCATTTCTACCACGTTTCATGTCTACTATGTAGCACTAAAGTGGCACACTTTGTCCTTTTATTTTAAAAGCAAATATTCAGAAAAAGTTCTCAAACATTCAGTCTTCTAGACAAATAAAAATGCTGCCGATTTTGTTTTTCTATTCCTTAGGCTCTTATGAGACATATAATCTCTCACTTAGCAATTTACCTAGTAACCGGCTTTTATTTAATTATTTGTTTACCTATTTATTCAGACCTATTTTTCAGCTCAGACAAAGGGATTTTAGCCGAATTTGAAACTTATCAAGCTCAGATAAAACACCTGCCTGTGTCAAGAATCCATCTGTTAACAAAGAAATGTCAAATTTCACCTAAAACTGAAAGTCTCCAAAAGACAAAAACTAAGTACAGTTATAATATGCATGATTTTGACACATGAAAAAAAAATCTTAACACAAAACGTAGATCTTGTTATTGCAGGTTTGTATTTTTCTGACAGCTGGGTTGAAAAGGCAGCTCAYTCGACAGCATTTCTTTAAGTAAACAAGAAGAAAACAAATCCCACAGGTCTGAGTGCCACAGCAGGGTTAACTGGTTGTAGGCATGAGCGTAAAGTGTTGTTCTGTGTGATGCTTACTGGTGACTCTCACTCTTTCCTTCTAAATCGGGTTTGGAAAAAAAAACGGATGCGTGGACAGTTTCATATAATAAACCCTGGTGATTGCAGAGTAGGATGAAGAGCTATTTAATTCACAAGATGAGTGATCTCCTGAGTTGTRGTGACGCAGAGCGGCGTTGTATTTTAAAACCTCTGTGCTTTTCCCTCCCCCTCTTTGCCTGCAGGTGTTTTCACCCTGACGGGGGTCAGCATCTACATCAGATACTCCAATCAGGCCATGGAGGAGTTCCAGCGAATCGTGCCCCCTGAGAATCTAATTTACGTCCATGTGTCATTTGGCTGGTCCTTGGCCACCGCGTGGCTCTCCTACAGCCTGGAGGTGACCACTGGTCTGCTGCTGCTGCTGGCTGCCAGGATCATTCAGATGAAGGGGCATTATGATTCTGGTGTAGCGATTACCGTGTTATAACAAACCCTGCGGGCTTTATTTATTTATTTATTTATTTATTTTATATATCCTTATTTATTAATGGCAAACAAGGTCACAAGAAGCCAGGCAGGTCAAGAGCCAGGAGTGCAGAATACAGCACAAGCTGGCTCCATAACTGCAAGCAGACACACAAAGAAGCTGATTAAAGGATTTTGTGGAACATCTGCTTCATTGTGAACACGGTGCAGTGTGATGCCTTTCATCTTCTTGCTGTATTATTTTCCTTCCCCTGACCCAGCCTGTAGAAATGCTGAGGGATGTGGTCAAACAAAACAAGAAAATGAAGCGGACCAGGATAATTACAGCAGAGCAGTATTTATTCACCCCCCACCATCACCCCCAACCCCTCCTTTAAATGTATCAGCGCAGGATGTGTCAGCCTTGTTGCTATATAACCATGTAACTGGGTTTATTTCTGCCATATGAAGACAGGCATTCGGGGGAATGGGTTTGTTTTCATTTGGATGTATAGGCCATGTAGTTTATTTTATTAAAGTTAAAACAACTGAAATGAACCACCACCTAAAATATTTTATATGACCACACCATGCAGACCAACAAAAAAAATACATATAAATATATATATATATACATATAAAAGTGATGTATTCTTTCATATTATTTTAAGCATAACAGCTGTTCTGCTGCTGCTCTAGGTACTGGAGCAAATTTGCACTTCACAGTTTTTAAAAAAAGAGACATCCAGTATAAAGCCAAGTTTGAGACATTGCTGAGTTATTTCACTTTCAGAGCAGCATTTTAATATTTGTTATGCTTTATGCTTATAAGCCCGTGTGCCCAAGCTGCCACTAGTTGCAGAAATCATGAAAACAATACAGTTAGTGCTTCCACAGAGATGCTGTTCTCAGAGGAACAAAATATGTGCATGTGTACTGCATGCTTTATATTTATAATGAGACAGTAGCGTGCAATATTGCCGTGCAATGAGACATCTTTTCTCTGCACAATGCAAGTTAAAGCATTCTTGTTGAAGCAATGCTTTGGATCTTTGAAGTGGGGTTCTGTGAAAAGATTATGAGCAGTTGACATCTTACCTGTTGTAGAAGCTCCCTGAATGATCTCTTTGAGGAAAAATAGATGTGCTGTTGATGACTCATTGAAGGAAAGTTGTTGATGTATTCTGAGTTTTGCTTGTATGATTTATTATTATTATTATTATTATTATTATTATTATTATTATTATTGTTGTTGTTGTTTGTTATTTCAATAAATCATGTTTTATTTTTATGTGCACAGCTTGCAAAACTGCATTCTTGACTGAGGACATTAATTTGCTGTTCACCTCTGCCCACGTCATTTTTGTTTTGTACCCACCTCAGCAGCTGGTCTTACTTTTATGATTTGTTCTGCTGGAGTACAGTTGTGTGAATTGAAAATAGGCAGATTTCAACCATTTTTTACAACAATAAACAATAATTAAAATTAATCTTCAGTGAGGTTTTTGGACCTGAACATTTACTTTGAAGGTTTTCTGTCAGATGACATCTCAAAATACAGATTGAGTCATTTTAAGACGTATTTGAGATGTACACAACAAATAACTGCTACTAATATTTGACAATTCTTTCTAAACGGCTGTAATTCACAACAGACAGCACTGTAAAGTTTTATAAAACATTTGCATCAATTTGTAATTTGATACATGAGTTGCTTCAGTAGTAGCAATCTATTTTGGCTAGCTGTGAAAGCATTAATCTTAGTCTTTATCAAAGTTTTATCTACAACAGGTAAGATATTTACTGTTCATAATCTTTCCAGAGAGCTTCACTTTAAACAAACTGAACCATTGGTTTAATAAGCAAAATTTTAATACWTGCTGTAAGATTCATGGCTGTATATGATGTGTGTAATTATTCCAGTCAAGACAGACATTCTGTAAGCTTTAATGAACAGTTTGATGTTAATAAAACATTATTCTAGCCGAGTGGTGAATGCATATATGTGTGACTCTATAATCCTGTTATACAATCAGCTCTCTGATTGTTGATCCAATACGATTACCTGATTAGCTTCACTATATGCACAGACTTGTTCTGYATCATATCCACCATAAAGTTCACAAGCAACAAGTATTACTGCCGCTTCTTTGTTTTGGCTAAATTGAAAGTCTGAATGTCATCCTCAGAACACAAACAAAGCACTGCAGGAGCCTGACAAAAAAAATTGCTGTATGTGAAGTTTTGTTTGTTTCAAATTCAGAGGAATGTGGTCACAGCTTATCAGTATGTTGGAACACTGTTGTCTTTGAAATCCATTTATCCAATTCTTTTACAAGTGGATTCCACTCAGTGAAAGAGTTGGAAATRTCCAAACTACAAAATGGGTGATTTTATAATCTTCATTCACATTCGTGATGTCGGATTTGAAATATCAGATGCAGTTTTTGCTAATATTAGCTGTATGATTCAAAATGTTTGTTTGCCTTAATGTGATTTGCACTCTAATTTGATGTACTTGGAGCTGGTTAATCAAAGCCTAAGCTGTGAAACATTGTGTCCACTCAGCTGTTTATGTTGCAGTTCCTTGGCCAATCATCGGACGGTGAGGAAAGAAGAGGAGAGAAGTGGGCGATAAAAGAATACGGAAAAGCAGCTCAGTCTCACAGCCCCCTTTTTTTTATAAATTAGACCTGCTGAAAACCCGTAAATTTTTCATGAGACATAATTCAATCCACTCTGACAGAAGTTGGTGCTGAACCATTACTCGTTGGTGTGTGCCCTTCCCCCTTGACAAAAAGCAGTAAATTTGCCTCAGAGAAGCACTGAGCCTCGTTTTAAGGATTTATTTGGGCTTTTCACAACCGCTGTCTTTGATCAAATTTTCTACTGTGGGTTATGTCTAAAAAAAGGGCTGGAATTTATTGGCCAAACTGAGCGTCTGTAAATCAGTCACTTCCTGTCCGGGATGGCCTTGAGTTGTCTTTGTGAGTTCTGTCCTTGTCTCTAAACCTTTTGCTCAACCAACTTTCTAGTTTTATTCRTTTTGATTATTCAACACAAATTGGTGCAAAAATCTTTGGATGATGCGATGCTCTGCTTCTTCAATTTTTCCTGTGAAAGTACTGCAGTCAGCTGCAGTAGACAAGGGATTTTATGAGACAATCTTCCAGTCAGTAATAGAACTCATAAAGTTATAACTTCATGAATTCATATTTCAATTTAAGGTCAAGCATTCAGTGAACAAATGCATAATTACCCACCATCCTCCATGACAGTTTTTAATTAAGACCTGAGAAGGSTTAAAGCCATGGTTCTTTTGCTCAAATCTTATGACACGTGCAATCTTGTACTACTACAAGAAATTTTGTAAAATGTCTTAGTGCTTGAGTTATGCATTAGAAAAGACTCTCAGCTTCAATAGCACAAAGTTTAGTAAGATATCGGCAAAACTGACTGATTTATAGACATCTTTGATCAGCTGTGGCCCCCATAATGCATCGCTTTGACCCGAAAATGTAAAGAGTTGTAGATCCAGAGCCAAGGATTATTTTCTGAGAGTTTCACTGAAATATGTGCAGTGACTCGTGGGATATTTTGCTAACAGACAGGCAGAAAGAGTTGAAATGTACATAGGTATGTGTTGATGATGCTCAGCTACTATCACACCAAATTTGAGCTCTGYATCTGTAAAATCCATAACGAGAGACAGATGAATATGCACGCAGACAATTAAAAAAACATGAATGCCCTTTGCCCAATGGAGCAGGCGATAAAAATCATTAAACTTTACGTAAGGCGAGTTAGAAACCACACTGGAATTTTTGATACAAGCCATTAAGCAAGAGTCTAAAGCGCTAAAGTTTTCCTGTGTTTTACAAAACAAATGTGTTGGAACTGAAGTCACGGCCACCGGTTGTTGCTTCTCAATCTGGAGTCGATGATCGTAATGAATTAAACACCAGACTTTTAGAATTGTGGATACGTCACTGCCCTCAACGACAACAAACTGACTTGGTGAATGTAAAGCAGATGAACACATTACTGAGATGGAGGTTGCCACTGTGAGGAGCCAGGTTATAGTAATCCTTCTGAGCCAAATTACATCCAGTAACAGCACCGAGAATGAAAAAGCTGCAGCAGAATGTTCAGTATGAACCAGACCATTCTTATCTATTCTCATGTTTTTTTCTATTATGTGTAAAATGAAACTCTTTAATCTGATTATTTTATTAAAATTTGTTCAGAATGAGCATCAAATTCTTTTTTTCCCAAAAAGCAGAAACTGAGCTGCTCATCTCCACGAGTTAATTCCTTCTGTCAGGCCGAGGCGGCTGCTTAAATCTGTAACCTGTTAGGACGCCTTATCGGCTCCCCATCATTTCATTCCAGCGCTGCCACTGAAGGCCTGAGCTGAGGCTGAAGTCTCAGGATTGAGTGGTCTCATAAACCGAGGAGGGACTGGATCCCTGGAGGGATGTGAAAGTGATGTGTTTCTGTTTCCCAGGAACCACTTGAAAAGTTAATTAGACTTGTGCCCTGTTCAGTGAACACCAATGGTAATTGCATCCTTCTAGATGCTGAAAATGCCATGGATTTTATTTTTTATTATTGTTGCTTACAGACAAATTAACTCTATTTAGGTAAATTATGAACTGGGACTGGGGACTTAAGAACCAACACTGGAACTCAGCCAGTTCATAAGAGCATGCGCCATAAAACAAAGTTTGGTTGGTAAAAATTCCTATACCTAAAATTAGCCAAACTGTAACAAAATATATAATTAGCATAAGAAAACCATAGCCAAATGTTAAAATGAGCAAAACGTTGGCTTTTAAGTTTTACTCAAATCTCTGCATGTGTCAAACTCAAAGCCCATGCAGCCCACCCCTGCATTTTATGCGGGCCGCAAAAGCTTCAAGGATTGATTAAAGGGGAGGTATATGTATTTTCCAGACACATAGTTCAATTCTACCACAACTGAATAACAGTTGTTATGAAAAGCTTTATATATCAAAAAATAAATTTGACTTTACATCACAGCATATCTGAATGTCTTGAAATTGACCTCCGTCTTTTTAAGAACCTCCTACCATTTTTGATACTCCCACTTCAGCGTTTTCAAAATAATTCATTGAGAAGGGGTGCGCTCTGGGGCAGAAGCTCAGTCTGCAGCTGAGCTCCTGAGAAGGAGTAATGGAAGGACGAAGGGGTAATGTACAAAGCCACCCCATCCCCCCATGTCTTAAAATAAGTGTGTGCCGTGTTATGATGGCATCCCACCACTAGGTGGAGGTGCACTGGKTTCAAAAGTAGCTGGTACGCTGGCAGCCAATAATAGGTGAAATTCAGTTTAAAATCTAAATTTCACTGCATTTTTGCAGGCTACTGTTCCTGCTTCCCACTTGTACTAGGAAGTGGGAATTTCTTACAAGTCATAAATTTAGATTGGAACACCTCTCCAGTGGGATTTTCCTGTCAGAAAGTGGGAAAGTTCAGGACT